GTCAACACTCTCTTATTAGCCTGGTCCTAAAGTCAACACCTAAAGTCAATACCTAAAGTCAACACCTGAAGTCAACACTGTCGTATTAGCAAGAATGGAGAATCACTATGCGAGGACTTGGACTGGTTCCAACGTGGTACAGAAGTCAACCTTAGTCTGGAAGTCAAACCTGGAGCGAAAGTCGAAGCTGTGTCAACTCAGACACAGAGAGAGAGAGAGAGAGAGAGAGAGAGAGAGGAAGGGGAAATGGGGGAGGGTTAGGAGAAGTCGACGGGTTGTGGTGGGAGAGAGAGAGAGAGAAAATAACAGTGAGAAGCAGTAAAAGCTATTTTCGAAAAATCGAAGTAGATGTAGCATGGTGCGGTAGCATGGTGCGGCCACTACGCGGGCCCTGTTTTGTGGCCCGCTGATTGTTCCAGGCCCCCAGGCCGCGCACCCATTTTTGGTGAGCGACCTGGAGGCCCACAGCCATATTCCAGGCCAGGCCCCCAGCATTTATTGTTTTTGCTGCGTGATTCAGTTTCGCCCGTTGTAGGCCAGATTTAGATTTGTCTTCCCAAAAAAAAAAAAAAAAAGTTTAGATTTGTCCGTATGTGGGACTGGGCCAGTCCTCAGGACCGTGCTGCATCAGCATGATTGCCTGGACGTCCGGTCGGGATGCAGGACATCAGATTCGACGGTCCTGATCACAGACCGAGGACTGCTCAGCCAGGCCCAGCGGTATATAGCGGGGCCAGCCCTCCACGGTTTTTGAGGAGACATTCGGGCTGAAGCCTCCTTTGGCAAGGGTACTTGGCTCGCCAGGCCGTGCAGCACAGCCGTGTGTTGGGGTAAATCGCCCGGGGGTCACCTGCATGGGGCACCCCGTGCAGGCAAAAAATCTGCCCTTTTTTTTGGGGGGGGGGGGGGGGGGGGGGGGGGGGTTTTCTGAGAGTGGCCAGAGGAGTCTAAATCTTGGAGCCTAAATCTGGGCTTTCTTTTTTCTTTGTAGTGTTGGCTGTCAAGGGGGAGAAGGGGGGTATAAATATGCTAAAGGGGATTAGAGGCAGGTGGTTTAGTCTGATTCTGTTGTAATTGTTTTTTTTTTAATCTTTGATTCCATTGTAATTGTTTTTTTTAAATCTTTGATTCCATGAGGAATTCTGATGTGACCATCAGGAATCGTTTGTATTGCAATTGTAATTTGTAAATTTATAACACAACTGTCACACCACGTTTTCCCTTTTTTTTCTTTTTTTTTTTTCTTTTTTTTTTTAAGACGTAACAGCTTTCATCTTTTTCCTTTTTTTGTTAACTGGGAAATGGGCCGGGCGTCCCTCGCATGAATGCTGCGGTCACCTGGGGCTGAGAAAGGCACTCTCGGCTAGTCCCATCCCCAACCAGAGTCATCCAGCCTCTTTGTAAACAAGAATGATAATATGTGAACAATAATAATATTTATAATGTGTAAACAATAATATGTCAAGTTGTCAACAATTATAAAACACATACCTGATTAAACATGGATTCGGTGTTGGAGTGGGTGTGGGCGTGGGTGTGGGCGTGGGCATGGGCGTGGGCATGGGCGCGGGTGTGGGGGTGGGGGTGGGGGTGGGGGTGTGGGTGGGGTGGGTGTGTGCTGCTTCTTTTTGCACATTATTTTCCAATCAACGACAGGTGGATGGGAGCGTGGCGGCTAAACAAGGGTTGAGATTTGTTTTCACAGATGGATCCCGAATTATTTTCCGGCTCTCGGTGAGGAACTACTAAGGCTGCGCACCCCCCTTTACACCCCCGCCCCCCCCTCTTTTTTCTTTTTTTTTCGTTGGCCGGTTGGTTTGTGCTTGAGTTCGTCCTGAAGGTTTGGGAATCCATCGGTGTCAGACAGAATCTGTTCATCAACAGGTACATGTGTGGTATGACTCAGGAGAGTAAAGGAGAGTGAACTGTCCGGCAATGACAGTGACAGCATGAGGCTGGAGGAGAAAGATTCACCCATTACTCAGCACATTACTCAGCACTCCATCATGCATGCCAAGAGTCTTGAAAACGACTCCAAAATCCAAACCGAAACTCGTAATAAAGTTTCAAAGAAAATAAGAGTACAATGGCAAACCCTCGACGCGTTTCATTTGCGCCGTTCACAGACTCTTCAGGAGGAAGAGAAGATGGGCCATTGCCCTATATATAGCTATCCAACCCCAACCTTCGACCAGCTCATCAATCCGCCGCGTACCATTAAATTTTAAAACTTTCATTAATCCCCCAGGTACACTGAATCTGTTCAACTTTCATCAAGTTTTATGTAATAAACTTTATAAAATAACTTTATTATATAATGAACTAAGCAGGCAGGCAGGCAGGCAGACTGCAACATAACAGTCTGTCGGGAGACATAGCAGTACAGAAGACAACACATGCACATCGCACACTGAGTAGCACCGAAATCAGAGACAATGAACGAACTTGGAAAAGGTGCGAGAATGCGAGATTCAGCAGCAAGAATACACACAACCAAGGCTACCAGAGTGGCCTGGGTGCACTTGCCCGGCCGGGCCAAAAAGAAATACAAAAATACAAAAAAGTAAAAATTATTTTTTAATTTAATTTTTTATTTTAAATATGGTAAAGAATTTCGATGTGACTTTTGAGGCAAAAGTCGTTCAGTTTAGTTTTCTTCATAACATAGTTTTTTTCGGATTCTTTGTTTTTTTTTTTGTTTTTGGCTGGGACCTTCCCTGGTCCTTGCACGGCCGGGCCGCCCGGGAAAATAGGGTGGCCCTGGTCCTTGCACGGCCGGGCC